GGCAAAGAGGATATACGTATTGTCTATGTATTTATAAAACTGTAATGATCAATGCATTTTGGAATTTCTTAACGCTAAATTTGTTTCGATGAAATTTGTAAGCGCTTCGCAATACATCTGTGCTAAGACGAAAATTTTGCATACAGAAGGCGAATTTCACACACTAACAAAATATATGTATTTCGTTGCCAGATGTTTAAAAAGTTCAATACTTGCTGTTGCCATAAAGATGTTTATGCCCGGAGCAAACAGTTATTTGGTTATATCAATTTAATTTTTAACACAGCAGTTGGCTTCATCGTTTCAAAGTCGTTCGCATTTATCAAAAAAAAAAACACTAATCGGACATATTCAGTTCCTTCGTGGAGCCAGTGTAAATATACATACATACATATACTATAAATGCCTACTTAGAATTTAAATTATAACCGAATTCAGCTTACAGTGGACTTTTTTGAGATTAGCATGTAGGTAAAGAGAGAAAGGAGGAAAGATTCTCAAATATTTTAATTTATACAGAGCCATAACTTTATTAATCACCCCTTCTTATCTAGCTACCAATTAAAAGAAAACAAAGTTTTTTCTGAGAATATATCTAATATGAATCAATACTATTATTACTAATGTTATCTACATACTTATTTCTCAGAGGTTTTTTATGTTATCGCACCATATCTCCCTTAATATTATCAAATTCAAAGATTGAGAGCTCATCTTGGAGAAATTAGTTACCGTTTTTCTTCTGGAATTAGTATCCGGTCAACCCAGCTACATATCTTCCACACATTTATGCCTATATACATACACACATATGTATATATGGGAAAACCTCACAAGCGGTTAAATTTTCGTCAAAAAAATTCCCGAAAATTTTCTAAATATATCTACATATACCCTAATTAAGAATTTTGAAATTTTGATGAAAATTTTTCGAATTTAGATTAATTTTTTTGGAATTTTTCGGAAGCTTTGAAATTGTTTTCTCTGAGTTCCGTAAGAAATTTAAAAAAATAAGTATCAAAATGTCTGACATACGTGTAGAAATTTACACATTATTTCAAAATAATTTAAAAGCCTAAAAATACATATATTGTAACCACTGCCAGAACACTTTGCTCAGCTTTTAAAAGGAGTTGATCTGCCGTCATTTCTTAATTTAATTATAAATACGTACAAATGCTAGTCTTGTTTTAAAAAAACACTTAGAATAAAAAGTAATTTACTAACGGCCGTTTTCTCAAGTAACCTGTTTTAAGTGGTTTACAACCAAGAAACATACGTAGGTCATAAACCGATAATTGCAATGCTTAACTTTGGACATAGTGAGCTTTCAACTTATAAAAGTTACTTCAGAAAACGGCCCTAAAGTTATATACATTTAGTGCAAACTATTTTATAATTATATATTTACATGTTCTACTTGCCTAATTTTACAATTAATATTTAGTGGTTGTCATTGTTTTTGTTTCTTATGTTTTAGCTGTCAATTAACCGCTGTAATTGTTGTCAGCTCCATTGAAATGGGATTTTCGGTCAACGCCATAGATTCGGTGAGAGCAGCTCGAACGCCAGCACCATTACCGTTGTGCAATAACTTCAAATCGCCTTTGCCGGATATTTCGTTAAGTTTTCGTCTTCGACGCGCCTGTGCACTCCCTGTCGTATGACCATTAAGAGCAACATTAGTGTTTTCATTAGAACGACATAATAATTCTGTAAATTCTTTACGGAAATTGTCATTCAGCCATCCATAGAGCAAGGGATTCGTGCAGGCCGAACTCATGCCGAACATATGACAGAACGCATAGGCGATTAGCATACTCTCCGTCACCGCTACCGGACTACGCATATCTGCATATAAATTGAAAAGATTTAAGGGCATCCATGAAATACCGAAAATTAGCGCAATTGTGATTAGCAGGCAATTTGTACGTTGCATACGTCGTCCACGTTCGGCTTTACGTTGTGGCGTTTGCATTGCCACAACAGTGCTGCGACTCTGCAGTTTCCTATAAATGCCAAGATACGCACCGGAAACTATCACTATCGGCACCAAGTATTGTACACATAGTGAAAAAATTGAATAGTAGAAACGTCCGTTGCTAAGTGGCCAATCTTCCACACAAAAACAAACACCATGGATGCCCAGTGCTTGCAGCAGTGGCGGAATTTCAGCTTCCTCCAGCTGCTTGTAGACAAAGAGTGGGCTAGCCAATAGCACTGCCAGTAGCCAAATGCAGGCGAGTATGCTGATGACACCGCCGACTTGAAGACTCTCCCGCGTTGGATACACAATCAGCTGAAACGAGAAAAAGTGAAGGAACATTTTGATTTGTTATTTTTTCAATGTTTCTAAAGCCAAGTCGCCACTAGGCGTGGAAATCAAAAAAAAATTGTTTGACGCGAATATTTGTTTATGTCCAAAATTGTCAATAAAATGCGTGTATTCAGAAAATATACGTTAATATAGAAATTTACATTTAAGGGATTCATAACGGTGCCGTAAGTATTGTATTGTTGTATATCGTAAGCTTTAAAAGCTTAAATAAATATTTACTGAACTTGAAACCACAACCAACTATTTTTTAACACTTGGGTATTTCCATACGTCACGAATGTGACAGTCGTATGTTTCAATGAAATACAAACAAGGAAAAACATTTGTTTTCTTTTATTTCTTCCCCCGCAAACATATTCTGAGCGCTCAGAATATATGAGTCGGTAAGTAAGAAATATGAGTTTCAAAAACAAACATTTATTTACTCTTATATGAATCATTTAGGAGTCATATATGATCCAAGTTATGAGCAGCCACTTTGTGCCAGTATAAAAACAATAACGACTAGAAATTTATATCTAAACTTGTTTATACAGATATGAAAAATAATTAGGAAGGAAAAATAAACAAAATTTAGCTGCAGCAACTGCTATTACATGAATGCTGCAATATATGAACATATGTATATATGTATGCGCAGAGGTTTGTATATAAATATGCAACAGTATTTGAAATGAATTCCTTGCTAACATGGCTCTAAAGTAAGTTCATTAAGAGAGTTGAAGAATAAAGCCAATAAGAGTCACAGAACAGCATACAAGGAGCTCCGAAAGTAGGCATTTATGAGGCCAATAAGAGTCATTTAAGAGCTTCAAAAAGAGTCCAAAATGAGCCGTATATGAGGCCAATAAGAGTCCAATATGACTCATATTGAGGCTCATTTGATGTATGAATTTAAGCTCATAAAGGACGACCTTCGCAGGAAGGGAAACACCCTCATTTCGGACTCTTAAATGAGCTCATAATGAGCACAAAGGCTCCGAAATGGTACTCCTTAAAGACTCATTTATGACTCCAAATGTTTGCTGGGTTTGGACCCTTGAGTAGTTACAAGGAAAAGCTACGTATGTGTAGTAAAAACATGTATGCCTAATTTAAAAAAAAATAAAATATACTTCCGGCCAGTATAGCAGTGGTCGGACAACGTGTATACATATGTGCATTGGGGTGACCATCGTAAATGCTTTTTTTTTGAAATTTCAAGACTCTAGCCCGTGATTTTATTCTTTTTTATGAGAAATATTATTGCCTATTTCTATAGATTTTTTAATCACCAAATTTGGTTGAGATCGGTCGAGTAGTAGTAAGGGCCGATGCCACCCCCATTTTCCTCAAATTTCTTGAAATCCCACTTTTTTGCTAAAGAGCGATTGTATATGGGTAAGGCATTCTCAAGTAGGCCCTTAATTTACGAAGATTAATATTTTTCACTGATTTTCAGGCAGCGCCGAGTTTTGTAGTCGAAAAGAACACTACGTAAATTTTGTTGCAAAATTCCCAAAAGGTTTATTTTTTTAATCAACAATTGAAAATTTTTGAAGTGTTTTGGAAATTTTTATTTTTTCTTTGAAAGTAAGTGTCCGAATGAAAAAATTTTTTTGGGTGCAGATTTAGAAAACATTAAACTATACAATGAAATTATTTGCGTTACAACATTTTTTTAATTATACATTTGCGATTTGTATTGGCATTTGTACTTTTTCGATACACATGTATGTACATAATTGCCTCAGCCTGTGAAATTCGAACAATTTAATGAAATATTTATGTCAGACATTTCCACTTTAATATGACTTATTAATTAGAAATGAAAGTAATAAAACTTAATTAAGTTGTATGTGAGTATGTACATATCGAGCCCTAACCGCCAAATAACGTACGCGACATTTTTTTCGAAATTTTCTTTTTGATGCAGAAATATTCCTAGAGCATCTAGATGCATTTCTGCATCAAAAAGAAAATTTTGAAAAAAGTGTCGCTTACGATATTTTGGCGGTTGGGGCTCGATATGTTTACAATATGTAAATATGTACACATGTATATAAATATCTACACCCACCTGATATCTGTCAAAGGCTATGGCTGTTATTGAAATCGTCGATACGAAAATGCTCACTGCTTGCAACATTGCAACCAATTTGCAGAAAAATTCAAACATTCCGAAAGGCCAGTACTTGGAGAGGATTTCAACTAAGGTTATTGGCATCGTTATAACGCATAATAATAAATCTGAAAGAGGAGTAAGGAAATTCGAAATAAAATAAGTTTTTAATACATGCATATACGTGTGTATGTATATGAAGTTATTTGTGTACAGAGAGGAAAACCCCCAGAAAGTCGAACGAAAATTCAAGAATATTTTTGGAGATTTAAAGAGCAAATGTATAAATTTAATTTAATTAATTCCTACCAACTAAGATTGGTTTAAGCAATTTATTTTTATACAAAAGTCTGGCAACATTTTTTATTAAGTTAGTGCGAAAAGCACTAAAATTAAATTAAACAAAATATAAAAAGGAATAGGGAATAAACAGAAACGTCTAATAGCATTCAACTCAGGAAATTCCTTAGTACTCACTTACCGGAAATTGCCAGATTCAATATGAACAAATTGCGCGCCGTACGCATTATTGGCTTTCTCGCAACGGCTATTACAACGAGTATATTGCCAACGGTGCCGCATATAATCATTGTTACATATATGCTTATCAGTATGTAGTGCCACTGGTCGCTAATAGCACGATTTCGTGTGAATCTGTCAACAAGGCTTCTACCCTGCGCACTGAACAAGCTCATATTCGACTGTGAGCTTAAGTTGCCGAAATTCACCTCAAGGTAATCACTAATGGCAGCCGTATCCACTGACTCGGCGGTCACATTTGAATTGGTATTCAACATATTCACCAATGGAGCGGCAGAAGGAACGCTGCCACTTAGCGTTTTCTCTGTATGGGTCATCATGATTAACTGCAATGACAGGAAAATCGGGAAAATATATAGAATGCTTTTTTTATAATGCGACATGAAAGAAAAAAAAAACAGGTCATATGTGTAATAGGCAAGCCGAGAAGGAGGTGTCAGCGGAGTTAGTTGAGCCGGGCCTGGCAAAGGATATACAATAGAAAAAAATTTAACAAATTTTCCAAAATGCTAAAATGATTAAACAAAAAACTTATATTGAACTAAGTTTTGTTGTTGTATATTCGATATATTCGATATTCGAAAAATCAGGCTTTCAAAAAAAAACGCGTATGGAGCGCGTTGAGAGCTTTTTCACTGCATGTAGAGACTATCTTTACCTTTTTTGTGCAACTGTTGAGGGATTTCATGCTAATTCATTAAAAAAAAAGTACCCTTCGGTTTTAGTTCAGCAAAAATTCCAGTATGTCAAAGCAAGAAATTGTTTCCATGACACAGTGCCAAATTTTAAAAATTCTTAACAAAATTTTGGTTTATTGCATTAAAGCGCCCAGTTCAATTGGAGCTCATAGCGAGGAAAAAAATTTCGTAGAAAATTCAGTAAAGCATATCATTAAAGCTTATTTTCGGAAAGACTGTGGCACTAATTCAAATTAATTTTCAACGCAACTGAATTTGTTTAATACAAATTTAAAAAAAAAAAGCAATTTTACAATAATTTGCAGGTAAGAACCATTGACAAAGTAAGGGTGTGAACAAAAGCAGGAGCGCAATGGCGTCGTTTTTCTGCGAATGCAGTTACAGTTCCATGGCTATGCTGCATCGTCGTTCGCGCACTCTGGGCAACATGAGCAATCCATGTGCGAGATGCGCTAACCAATCCGAGTGGAGCCTTGGGTCACGGCAGAAAGAGAGGCAACTTCGCGTTGGGGCCGCGACGACTTATGCGGTTTAAGGACTCAGTGAAGTGTGCGGCTGTAAGCGGGCATCTGTCATGTAGCAAGCGGCTCGGTATATAAACGTGTATTCGATTGGGAAACCACGCTCCCTCACAGCAATGGGTTGTGCGCTGAGTTTGGGCCCGTCACGTCAAAACCACTTCCAGTGAAAAATAGTAACGAAGCCTCGGATGAGATCCCCTTTTGATGACGACCTTGGCACACATTTAAAGGACTACGATTCGAGGCTACGCACCTGGAATATCAGGACTGTTAATAGAAAAGGTGACTCTGCCCGACTGCTTGATTTTTTTGTGAAGACATAAGATGACATCACTGCCATTTAAGAAATGCGTTATACGGGGTAAGACATAGTAAGCGTGGAGCCTTGCGGCGTCTACTACAGCAGCCACGTAAAGGAGCGCAAATTCGGTGTTGGATTTTTAGTGGGAGAGAGGCTCCATCGCCGAGTATTGTAATTCACCCCGGTGGACGAGAATCTAGCCACAATCCGCAGCAAAGCGAGATTCTTCAACATCTTGCTCGTCTGCGCCCACGCCCCGATGGAAGAAAAAGATAAGGCATTTAACGATCTCTTCTATGAGCGCTGCCACTGTCAGCATATCAAATTCGGCCTTAGCAATTTCAATGCCAAGGTGGGCAAGGAAGGAATCTTTAGCGCCACTGACGGTAAATTCAGCTTCATCGTCCGATAACGGATTAAGGCTGATAGACGGAAGGCACACTATTAGTGTTTTAGACGTACGTACACTCCGATGGCCACACATTAACTCGGACCAGCCCATCTTGTTGTAACCAAGATACGCACCCGCTTCAGTGCAGCAAAATAAATGTGCACCCAACAATGCAAGAAAAGAACTATATGTTAGGTTTATCGTCGGTACCTACCGCAATAATGCAGTCCAAGCTCCACGGAGCTCTTAAAGCTCAACGGATTAGTTCATGCCTTAATCATTACCCTGAAATGCAAGCATTTTAGTTCCAAATGGCAGTGTGGGCGGACACACTTACCACCTTGGTAAAGCCGAAACCTACCTAAAATCCCTGCCGCTCTTTAGGTCCCAGCTCCCGGTTGCAATGCAACTCCACATTGAACCAGTTATTTAGTCTAGACTTAATTTTCGTAACTTAATTTTACGTAATAATAGGACAACCTGTTATATGAGAAACTGTGTTGGCGGTTAATTAAAACTTAACTTACTGTTAGAAACTTAAGAACCTGTTGGTTTTAGATTCTTAAGTTATTTGCGAAAATTGAGAGTGGTGGGAGAATCGGGCTTGCAAGATTTTCGTTTTTGCATTTCTCAAAAATTAATTAACGCTATCATATTTTTCTGCATGAATTTGTTTGATGTGTTATTTTAGACGGTAAACTGTCAAACAGCTGAAATAGAAAACACAAAAACAAAATATTTCCACTTTTGGCTTCAGTTGACAAGTTGAGTAATCATTGATGATTCCTTATGGTAAGTTAAATTAAGTTAAGTCTAGACTAACTGAGCTTTATGGTAACTTTTCGTAAAGAATTTTTCCATTTGACAGCACACATATATAAAGAGACGCAAGAAGTTTCCTTAAATATGTATGTACATATTTTTCACAAATTGTCTCACTTATTTACATACATATGTAAGTATGTATGTATGTACTCGTACTTTGCTTGTGGATCCTGTATCTGTTTCATATCTATATGCTAACTCAGAAAAGAACTTTTTTATTTAATTCAAACTCTACACAGGTTTCAAGCAATTTCAGCTGCCAATGCCGCACAGCGAAAGTAATTTCATTTCACAGATAGAGGATAACATTAAATGCGTATGGTGTGTAGATCTAAAGACTATAACTGTTTTTTGTATAAATATTAGGGTGGCCCAAAAATGCATGTGAAAAGTATACAAATTTAGTATAAAAATATGGTTTTTGATTACAAAATCAAAAAATATTGGTAAATATTTTCGGTGTAGAATAAGAATGCTCACAGCGTACGCCGATATTTATTGTATGCCATTAAAAAAAAAAATAATAATTTTTTTCATTTTGTTTTTCAAGTCCTAGGTCGCGCATTCCATATTAAACGAAACAAAAGGTGGTCATTACTATCGTATGCGGTATCCGCCGTCATCAAAAATAAAAAAATCTTCCTCAGAATCTTTCCCTCGAACATTTATTATTGGCATTAACTCCGGCACCCCAATAAAAGAAATCCATCCCCTACTTTTGTAATACAAGAATTGTACGATTGGCATATTTTAGCTGCACTTCCACTACCGGGCCAGTGTTTGGTGATCGTAGTTGTTGGCCGGGTATTATATTTTCTTAACCTCTTTCTCCATCGAGTTTTAAGCACTCAGTGGACAGTTTATTATAACTGCTTCGGACTAGTGAAGAGATGATCCAGTCCTAACCAGTTTATCAGCCTTCTCGTTACCGTATATGTTTTTTTTTTTTTTTTAGCCAGACAGCCGGGGTAGTGAGCCTTCTATTTATTAGGGTCGT